AAACACCAGTGCCTATATCAATCCTAATTAATGTTAAATAATGCTCATGTGTACAGGTACTTTTCATAGACAACAAACACGTTCAATCTTTTAAGTGTGTAAATTAATAATTTAATTTTCATTTATTTTCTATTTAAAATTGCTCCATCTAGCATCCAACCAGCTGTAATGCCGGAATAACAAATTTGAATGTGGAAACCGTACTGGTGTGAAAATTATGATCTAACTCACACTTATTATAACATAAGGTCAATGTTGTTATGTAATAGATCTGGGAGATTCCAGAGGGGGGTCTCATATCGCCCCTGAAGGACCCAGTTGTGAAGCTGGACGGGCACTCCAAACGTGTGGGCATCCTCAGCTGGCACCCAACTGCCCACAATGTGCTAATGAGTGCAGGTAAACCAACATCAGACATCCACCCAACAGCCAAAAGTGCATTTATATACAGTCTTGAACTACACCTATGTATGCATGGCTAAGAACATGTACTCATTCGTGCAATATAGAGGCCACTTTTACAGTTGAATGGTGGCACCCTCTGCTGATTCTTCACACACTTCTTTAGGTTTATCATAAATTTGACGTTTCTATTTTTTTCTCTCTCTTTCTTCCACATCAATCTTCCTCCTTCCCCCATACTCTTGATTTACCTTGTCGGCCTTCTCTGTCTTTCTTTCTCTCTTGGTTTCTGTCTGCAGGCTGTGATAACGTGGTCATCCTGTGGAATGTGGCTCGTGGAGAGGCAGGGTTGCGCATTGACTCAGTGCACACTGATCTGATCTACAGCGCCTGCTGGAACAGAAACGGCTCTCAGATCCTTACTGCCTGCAAGGACAAGAAACTACGAGTGTTCGACCCCCGCAAGGGCTCCGTCATCAATGTGCGTGCATCCCTTCAATGTAAAACATGATCAAAAAATGCTAATCGAAGTGAATAATGATTAAAAAAAATGTATGGGGCATAAATAAGTAATGTATTTGCATTGTTTACCATTCACATTGATTTTGCAGTCACATCTAGCAAGTAGTTGTCTAGTGGTGTTTGGATGCATATTTTGCTGTACTTAAAAATATCAGTTATAGTTGGTTGTTGGGTTCCATGTATTTTTGATGTCGTTTTAAAGCATTTCATCAGTGTTTTTTTTTTTCAATGTTAATGCAAGAATTAAAAAACTTGAGATTGAGCACATGATACTGAATAATTTAAAGCCGCAGTAATTACAGGGAATCTTAGTGTTAATTTAATGTTTTCTTAAGCTGCAGTAACATCAGTCATTTATGAATCACAGCTCGCTTTCTGTTAGCCAACGCTGTGAATCCTTGTATCCAACTTGAAACTGTTGCGAAATCTGCATTGTGCAAAATTCCTGATTGCATGAATTCCTTTTGAAATTACTTTGGTTTCGCCCCTTGAAAATTCAAACAACAGTTAATGTGACTGCATTTTTGGTCTTTTAACATTTTACATCCAGTGAATGCATTTAAAGTAATTAACTAAATCAATTTAACTCAAATTATGCCTTCATTTATTCCAATTTGCAGTCTGAACATTTTTATAGTGTTCTTTTATAGCTTATTATAGTGTCTCTTTCTTACACCTTCCTTTCTGCCAGCTTATTCACTGCTCATGCGACGTCTCTCTGTGTATATGTGTGTTTCAGGAGAAGGACAAGCCTCATGAAGGTTCCAGGCCAATCAGAGCTGTGTTTGTTTCTGATGGCAAGATCCTGACCACCGGTTTCAGCCGCATGAGTGAGCGGCAGGTGGCGCTGTGGGATCCTGTGAGTACATCATGTGCTTCAGAAGCTCTCTTTTTCAGTTTTACAAACAAGTGACTCACAAAAGTGTGTTGTTTGTGGTTGCAGAACAACTTGGATGAGCCCTTGACTCTGCAGGAGCTGGACACCAGCAGTGGAGTGCTCTTACCTTTCTTTGACCCTGACACTGGTGTAGTCTACCTTTGTGGCAAGGCAAGGATCTAACACAAGTTCAAGTTGTATGATCATGAAGAGGTATTTGTTTATGAAGTTGTATGTGCTAAAAGTGCATATGGTTTGACAGGGTGACAGCAGCATCAGATACTTTGAGGTGACAGACGAGGCTCCATACGTCCACTATCTCTCCATGTACAGCAGCAAAGAGAGTCAGAAGGGCATGGGCTACATGCCTAAGAGAGGCCTGGAAGTCAACAAGTGTGAGATTGCAAGGTAAACACGCCCAGCCTTTCTTTCACCAATGCCCATTGTGTAGTTGCTTTGTCCCACAAACATTTAAAAAGATCAGCATTTTAAATTCTTGATTATTTTATACTTATTTCAGGTTCTATAAACTTCATGAGAGAAAGTGTGAACCTATTGTTATGACTGTGCCTCGTAAGGTAAGTTTGGATTTAAAGTCAAAGATAGGCTTAAATGTTGTCAAACATTTGGGGTCAATAAGATTTTTGTTTGTTTGTTTGAAAGATATGTAACTATGTAACTTTTTGGAGAAAAAAACAAAAACATGTTCTAAACCATGTCTTTACTTTAACCAAATACCCTTATGATAAACCTATAATAATGATATTATGATATGTCTCTTAATCATTAATTTGCCTGTGCATGTCAGCTAAAATCCGACTGTGGGTAGAGTGCAGCTAGAAATTTGCAAATGAACTAGACAAATGTACTGTTTATCATGAAAAATGTCTGGCCTCCAGAGAATTATCGGTTGTTAAAAAAGAAAATTAAAAGAAAAAAAGTTATTTATTTGTCCATCCGCTCTGTGTCCATGTGGGCACATTCATCCATTCTTACTCAAGACGCATGCTATTTTCTTTTTTAACCGCTAGAGGGCCGAAAATGATCTAGTGTAGCTTTAAAGGTGCTTTGTGTAATATTTAGTAGGATCTGTTGACAGAAATGCAATATCATATACATAACTATGTTTTCAGTGGTGTATAAAGACCTTACTTAATGAACCGTTATGTTTTTATTACCTTAGAACAGGGGTGCCCAACCCTGCTCCTGCCGATCGACTGTCCTGCACAGTTTATCTCCAACCCTAATCAAACACACCTGAAGCAACCAATTAAGGTCTTCAGGATCACTTGAAAATTAAAGGCAGGTGTGTTTGATTAGGGTTGGAGATGAACTGTGCAGGACAGTCGATCGGCAGGAGCAGGGTTGGGCACCCCTGCCTTAGAATGAGCCATTTCTATCTACATACACCGCGGGTCCCCTTACATTGAAATGCGCCGACATGTTTCTACAGTGGCCCTCAATGGACAAACGCGTTTCATCACTATGTTGTTCTCCGTGCAAAGAAGCTAGCTAAAGTCAGCGAATAAAACACTGACATAACTTTTGTTGGTTGCAATTCGCAACCTCACCACTAGATGCCGCTAAAACATTACACAGTGCACCTTTAAATTAATTGAAAAAGATAGTAAGGACATTTATAATGTTGCAACTTGCAAAAAAATTGTGTTTCAAATAAATGCTGTTCATTTGAACTTGTTATTCATCAAAGAATCCTGAAAAAAAAATTCACGGAATCCACAAAAATATTAAGCAGCAAAACTGGTTTCAACATCGACATTTTTTTGAGCACCAAAGCAGCATAGAATGGTTTCTGAAGGATCATGTGACTCTAAAGATCGAAAATTCAGCTTTTAAAAACAAAAAATCGTATCAGCCCCAAATTTTTTAATGATGGTGTATGAATGCCACTGTTGATTTAGTGCATCTTAATCCAACATTATCTTTTCCTTGCTTTAGTCTGACTTGTTTCAAGAGGACCTTTACCCTGACACGATTGGTCCAGAGCCATCGGTAAAGGCAGATGATTGGTTTGCTGGTAAAGATGGGGAACCAATCCTGATCTCCTTGAAAGAAGGTTTTGTGGCTACCACCAAAAACAAAGAGTTCAAAGTCATCAAGAGCTTGATGGCCACAACATCCTCTTCCTCGAACAACCGACAATCTGACAGTGGGGTACGAGAACAGATAATTACCCCAGCCTTTTTAATGCCTTTTATGTAACCCCAAACATAGTGAATTGTATATAAAACTGAGTTTCTGTCACAAATAATCTCATTCTAGCTTTCTTTCTCTTTCACATACAGGACGTGCAGGCCTTGCAGAATGAGGTGAAGGAGCTGAGAGAGATGGTTGAGCAATTGACCAAGCGAGTGAGCGAACTGGAGAGCAATTAGCTGAAGAGAGACCCCAGTAGAATGCTTTAAAAGAAATATGCAAATTGACACATATACAGTAAGATGCGTGAATAATGAAATTGTAAAAGGTTCATATCAGAAAGGTTTGTAGAATTATGTGAAATGTTTTCATTGGATACCATTTTGCAGTCCATTGCAGACCAAATTTTGCTCTTCAGGGATTTTACTTTTTTTTTTTTTTTTAATGTGATTGCATTTGTTTTAAGCCCATTTTAATATATGTTTTATAGGATTTGAAATAAAGGTCAGTGTTATTTTAACAAAGATTTATTTATGTGTCAAAAAGTCATTGTTCATTCTGCACACACAAATGTCTTAAATCAGTCAGTTTTATTGAAAATATATGAAAGACAATAGAAATGATTATGACCAAATACACAATACACAAACAAACAGAAAAAATCTTAGTGAACTAACTGTACAGTATTTGCAGTAGATTCCCATATCCTAAAAAGTTCTTGAACAGTTTGTTATTACTCAAAAATAGGCCAAGTAGCCTAAACACTGTAAAGTTTACAACCGCATTTATTCAGTAGCATTCTTTGAAATGCCAAGGACTGGCACAGATACAATGACCTGAAAGTATTTTGGACACAAGCTTGGCCCATCCCTGAATTTTAATAAACAAGTGCATAGTTTATTAGCTGCACTGAGAAATCGCAGCAGTAAATTGTAAAATATATAAAACTAATTCATTAAAAAGCTTAAAGATTGTATTTCTACGAATGCTCCTAACAAGTAACATTTACATTTTTCTAGATCTTGACCTTTTCCCATTTAACTTTTTCTCTTTTCCTACCAACTACTAAAGACTACTTGCTAACATTAACCCATTTTAGACTCCTGCTATAATTACTGCGACTACTTCTTATTAGTTTAACACATTTTTCTTTATCTACACATAATTCTTGCTTGGTGCTGAGGCGCTATTGCTGTAGTATTTGGCTGTTCCGCTCGATCCTCCAGAGCGGGGTCTGCTGAAGCAACACAGCAGGCCTCCGGCCAGCAGGAGCAGGACTCCTCCTCCCCAGCCCACGAAAATACATGCACCCAACTCTCTTTTCTGAGACTGAGCGACCAGTGGATTGTTGAAATCGCGTATGATATTACTAGCCGCCCAGCTGACGGGGATGATCAGCAACAAGCCCGCGATGATCAGCCCGATGGCGGACACCAGACTCACTTTGGGTTTGACTTCTTCGTTCTCAATGCAGGTGGTGAAGTCGGCTCCGGCGCACAGAATGAGCAGGGACAGGACAGCGAGCATACAGCTGATGATGGTCATGGCACGGGCCGCCTGAAGGTCAGAGCTCAGGATGAGCAGCGACTCGTAGGACTTACACTGCTGCTGTCCGGTACTCTGAACCACACACTCCATCCACAAGCCCTCCTCCTGAACCTGTGAGGAGAGAAACAATTATCTAGCTTTATTACAGATTATTCATGGAAAATATGGCCTGAGGGAAGTTAGTTTTAGATATCGTCAAATAACAAAATATGAAATATACCCTCCCATCCACATAGGCTAATTCTTTCAAGAATAATCATTTTTTTAATAACCGAATGTTGCTCCATACACTTAAGTACACAGTCTCCATCTCTCTGTAGAATATGCATGATACATTATATAATCTATTAGAATGATTAAAGTCAACATGAAATCAAAATGAACTATCTTTTTTTTTTTATGGAATATTTCATGGAAAAATCTTTTTTTTTTTTATGGAATATTGCTGTATTTATTATAAATGATTATTTCCGTGCACATATTTTAAATTCATGTGCCCTCGTAATCTTTAATCAGAATAACTTCCTCTTCCTCTTGCAGCGGCATCTCTTCTCTGATTACATGTTTACTGGCTCGAGGGCGGGATCAACCTGTCACTCACATGACATCACAGCAGTAGCAAACCACAACCATCCAACGATCCAATCAAATCCCAATTGACTAAATAAAGTCCTGTCCTACTAAATTTTTCTTGTTCGAGAAGCTGTTTCACTTGTTGGATATATGTCACAATAAGGAAGAAAAGAATATTGCAACTTGTGTCATTCCGACTTTAAATACACGTCATGCCTTCTTCTCATACACGTCAACTTCTGTTTAACAGAGGGTGCACACAACGTCAAGGACAATTGTGAATGTGTATACATGCTGGATGAAGCTACACTATATTTGCATTATCTAGGAATTTTAGTAAAAAAAAAATGTTTGTGCCATTTTTATTATTATTTTTACAAATATATTTCAGTCACTTTAGATTAGGGACCAATTCTCACTATCAACTAACTATTAACTATGACTTTTCCCTCAATAAACTCTATTGGGTAGGATTAAGGGATATAGATTAAGGTCATTAATATGTGCTTTATATAATACTAATAAACAGCCAATAATATGCATGCTAATAAGCAATTAGTTAATAGTGAGAATTGGACCCTTAACTGAAGTGTTACCAATATTTCTATCTAGCCTTTACTTATTTTAATTTCAGTTTTAATTATTTCAGTGATTTTGTTTCAGTTGATTGCCAAAGCAACATTTCTCATTTTCATTTAATTTTTTAAAAAAGTTTTTCATCTAATATTTATATTTTATTTTATGTAAGCTTTTTTTTAATTAATGAAAACAGTTTCTGACTGTTTGTATTAGCAATAACAACACTGAAAACATACTTCAGATGAATATTGATCACGGCTCTGAATATTGATCACGGTCTCTGAAATTTTCATTTTATTGTGCTTTTGTATCATTTTGCTTGACATGACCTAATCTTCAGTCATTCTGAAGATTTTTTTCATTAAAGATCTCTTTATCTATATATATATATATATTTTTTTTTTATATATATAATATTTTTCTTTTAACCGAAATGTTTACCTGTGCAGTGATAATGTTCTGACCAATAAAGGCAGAAACCTTCCATCTTGGAACAGCAATGGTCACGACCGCAGCAATGAGACCTAAAATTCCCAGTGCCACACACACGATCTGTACAGCAGAGGAGCCCATTCTGAAAGAGTAAGGAAGATGGTGTTAAAACTGAAAAACCAAAAAATGGCATGGCAAAGGTCGGCTACAAAACCAGTAGTTTCCTGTTCACTACTGCCTGTTTGTGTCATTGATAAGTGGTATGTTTTGTAATATTCTAGTCTAGTGCTTACATATTTGCACAGAAACTCAATGACTCATCCCTTTAGACAGGCCCGTACAAGAATTTGTATCTTAGGGCTATAGCAGAAAAAAAACATCAGCGCTAAGAAAACTCGCATCATAAAGCAAAAGCCTCAAGTCTCAACAGGTTCTAACAATCTTTATCTACACTTGATAAAGTGAACTGCCACTCCCAGAGAGGGGTCTCAGGTCCCGCTCATTCTATTCTATTCGGTTCTATTCGGATGCAGGACATTTCTTTTTAAACTTTTTATTGAACTGTCCTTATTTCTGTACACCCGCTACCCAAATGTCTGTGGCTTTTTATTCATATCGATCTCTCTGAACTTCTCTTATATTTCCTAAGGATTTGCTCTTGGCCGATTCATAAAACTGCTGTTAGAATGTGTGGACTGTAGTTAAGACCCCGTAGTCCACTATAGTGCACTGTATTATCTTCCTACTCAGTACAAAGCACCATAGATTGGTGAGAAGGATGGACAGGGAAGGGGTGAACAGGTGGTGTGTGGGCACCAGCAAAATGACTAACGGTATTTGTGGCTGCTTTTAGTTTACCGTGAATCATTCAACAGCTCTCTGAGCGATTAACATGCTGCCCGGCTCCTTTAAAATTGTATTCTTTCCATCTAAGCAATGATAATTCTGCTCTTAACTAAGCTAAAATCATGAATGAGTGAGGAATTTAGTTAAAACAATTATTACAATATTAACAGAAAGAGAAGTCCACAGTGAAACATTACCTGTTTCTTTTGTTTCTCAATATGACGTGCTTCAAGTATGATGTTATATACAAAGACAACATGAAAATCTTTAACAATGTCATACAGTTAAAAAAAAAACCCATCTAAACATGGATATCTATATACTTCATGGACATAACACAATACACAAAGGCACCACCTTATATTAAATAATTTATATAAACTCGCAAAAAGGGAAAAAAAAGTTAGAACATTACCTTTTATTGTAGCTCTTTGAAGACAATTTCTTTTCGGTTCGTCTTTAAGTTTGTCTCCCACCTTACCAAACGGTTACCTCTAATAAAGGTGTTGGGATGTGGGGCTGCTTTTGAAGAAAAATGCAATGGGTGGGGTATGAGACAGAGGCGGGTTGGTAAAGAGGAAAAGGCCAGCCTGGACTTGTTCTTTTTCACTCTACTGCTTTCTTCACCCCTTTTTATATCACCTTCCTCTGGTTTTTAAATAGAGATGGTCCATGTTTGATTTTTTTTTTCTTCAAAAACAAAATATTCATACATACACTAATATCATACAACTAGTTTTTTCCCCCCCACTGTATGTCACGTTTCCGTGCAACTAAATGGAAACATGCGTTCAGGAGGGTCCAGCATCATGATACTATGAATCATAATTACTTTGAATCTTCTGTCACAATGACATCTCAAAAACAACCTCACAACCTCTCCTCATAAGCTCTGCCCAGTCAAATATAAACAAGTTAGAGTGGGTGGGCTTTAAATTGTGAAACATCGGGATTGGGAGACACATCGTCATAACACAGCTGTGTTAGGCAAGAATGGATTCATTAAAAAAAACTATGTTAATAAGAGATTGGAAAAAAGACAACAAAAATAGAGCCAGGAGAAGGAAAGGTATCAGAAAGATTACGACACGACACTCAGTCTCACAGTCTCTCTCTTGTCTGTTTTTTTGTGAACTTAAGAGTATTGCTGATGAGGCACTGATATATAGTAATGCACTATATGTCATTCTGATGCTCATGAGGAAAATTCCAATGACACCATTTATGTAAATTATTTATTTGACTTTTATTTCATCATTGTCTCGCTCTTTTTTTGTCAAAACAAACAAAAACTACCCCCCCACCCCCCAAAAAAACAAACAATTATTGCGGTGAATATTGCTCTACTGTTAAATCTAGAACATGTCATCAGCAAACATAATAACTATGAGTTTTAGTTATACCTGAAAATGCATTGATTGATAAAATCTAAAATGAAAATAATCTTGAGTCTACATGAGACACTGTCATGGGATAGTTATAATTCATGGACATACCCTACATTTTAGTCCAGATCAGTACGCTGTTTTAAGAAAAAATTATATTAAGATATAAATTAGATAATCTCATTTATAAGAAACAACTTAAACCAGAATCTACATTCAAACCATATGGGAAAAGTTTTTAATGTGGGTTTTATCATGTATGACGTTGGAAATAATCAAAATATTTGCGTGAGTGTGCAGTTCAACTCTTTACTTAGAGAGAGATTTACATACATACCGTATATATTATGCCTATTATAAATGTGTCTTTTGTGTGTTCACGCCATAAACTGTAAAAAACAAGTTCACATATTTCCTGTTGCCCCAGAAACCACATGGAGCATGTTTTAATGCAAGGAGTAAACAGGGTCTTACCAGAAGATGCCATCTCACGCAAGCTAAAGACAGGCAACAAAAGAAAATTAAAAAGAAAATTAGGGACAGTTAAACATACACGTGGTTAGACAGAACATCAACCTGACCGTCAAGAACTTTTTGTCTCTCGAAATAAATTATAGACCCATCCATTTATGTACATAAATAAATTGATATCTACCTACCCTAGATTTATCTAGTTAATCGTTTATAAATAGTAAATGTTGTATCATTGCTAAAAAACAATAACTTTAGCAGATTATTTAACATACCTCAATTCGTGTCGCTGTACAGCCTCCCCCTACTGGACGGACGCATCAGGAACAACAGGGGCGTAAAACTGCCTGGGCTGTATATCTAGATATCTTCCGGCAGCATCCCACTACTCGGGCTGCGATATTTTTTTTCCCAGGATGGTAGGGGAAGACTCATGAATATTCATTAGGGAACTCATCGCTAATTGTTCATAACATAGACATAATAAATACATAGACGCCCTATTGGCCGCTGGAGCGTACGTCAACGGCGCCATACCCCTACCTCTCATACCGGGAGTTGAGAAAAATGCCTGTTTTGTGCGCTGTTTGGGGCTGTACACATCGCCACACAATTGAAAACAGCTTTCGAGGAATTACCTTTCACAAGCAAGACTGAACGTTTGTTTTTCGTTGTATTTGGTCATGATTTAATTAGTAATGTTCAGAGGTTACATTTAAAAATACTACTGTTATTGTGTCACGAAATGTAGTTTTAATAGTTTTTCAGTCGACAATGTAGTTGTTTAAAGCTCAAATGTGTGGTTTGTTTATAAAGATAGCGCCTATTTAAAAATTTGATCTGACGTTTTCGGATTTGTAAGATGCTATCACCGGGGCTCAGCGCTCGTCTACCCCGCCTGGAACAGCCGTACCTCGGCCAGTGCTTCTGAAGTGTTGCCGCTGACTCGGGGATGTCTGTAGTCTAGTGGTTAAACATGAGAAATAATTCGTCTTGTGTATATCTAACGGGCGATCTTTGGTCTCATTAATCTATAAATGGTTCCCTAGTAAATCGTTTTGGCTGAGGGCAAAGTGAAGTTTCATAACTTTATATTTAGGCTATTTTAACGTTGTATCCTGCTGTATGACTGAAGCTACTTCTGTTATAATGGCTATTACTGATCAATAAAACTGAAATTTATCAAAAAGAGTTAATATTAAAATGTCACTATTTAACTTATTTTTTATTGTATATATTCTGTAATTGATATTTCTTATTATATTGCTATTATTATAATATTATTAATAAACTATATGCAATTATCAATATTTTTATGATTGTATTGTACTTATGATATTATATAATTATACTATTCATTACTATTTTATTTGCTGTATACTATTTGTTTATTTTATTGACTAAACTATTTACTATTACTTCTCACTTTATATTTACTATTTGCATTGCACTATAGTTGTAGCCTATGTATTATCATAAAGGATCCATCAGTTATCTTTGTTATTGCTAAAATCTGGTCAATCACAAAAAATGCTTTTTCCACAATAAGAAAACTTAAATTATATCTCAGTATGGGGGTCTTCACCATTCTTATCCAAGAATAAAAAGCCAAATACATGACAAGCCTGCAGCTTTGACCATTCTTTATTAAAAAAAAAAGAATATTTTACAAGTCTAACTATCGAGATTTTAAATAACTAGAGATGGAACTTTTTGTACACCACATACAAACTAAAATCGGTTGATAAATGTAAAAACTGTTTGTTTGTATCCAGAAAAAACGCAGCTCACCCGTTTACTTACATTTGATTACAGTGCAATCTTGCCCTCCGCAAAATGGCGGACCCGGTTCATAACCCCAGTGACGGGTATGTTTAGGGGCGGGGTTAGGTGTAGGTCACCAGACCAATCAGGGATGAGTTCCCTAATGAATATTCATGAGTCTTCCCCTACCATCCTGGAAAAAAAAAAAAAATCGCATTCGGCCTGGTTCACACAGAAAGCGTTTTTGCGTTGAAAAACGCGAGACGCGGGCAGTGGAATGGGGAAAAAGCGCGAGGTATCGAGGCGGTTAACTTATTTTAACTTGAGTGCCAAGTTTTTAGAACGTAGTCATGCGCGAGACGCTGCAAGTGCAAAAGACTAGCGCGTGTTTACTATATAGACTAAAAAATGGTTTACATTGAAAAATAAAGTAGCGCAGTGAAATGGAAAAACGTGATTTTCCGGTACAGGATGAGAGCTTATTAATTGCGAAAACGATTAGGCCTATCTATTTTTGTTAATTATTATTTTATTTCAGTTAGTTTTTCAGTAATTGTTGTTAGTTTAGTTTAGTTTTAGTTTCTCATTTATGTTGATATTCTATTTTATTTCAGTTTACGTGTTTTTTGACCAATAGTTTTAGTCTTAGTTTCAGTTTTCGTTTACGAAAATAACCTTGGTAAGTACCAGCTGGCCAGCTGAGAATGTTGTGGAAAATTGTCTTCTCTTAATTTATGTTGCGGGAAATTGTCTTCTCTGCAAAAGAAGGTCAGGAGTCAGAGCTAGAGAAATCAGATTATTATACAATTTGCAATTATTATACCTGGTTCTTATCTGTTATTTCGCAATAACCAAGTGACATAACATCTGGTAAGATTCACCCCTCCTGTTTTCCCCATAGGCGAAATGTAACATTCTCCAAGGCCAATCAACTCTTCTCAGAGGCAAGACACCTCGACGCAACACCTCTTAACAATGGTCTTATTATTTCACATCGTCTGGTGTTTACCAGAAAATCCCTGACTATGCAAAAACTGCAGTGGTTGCACAAACTTCTCATCTTGACCTTTGTATAGTCACATAGGCCACAAGTACGGTGGCCGAGAGAGCTCACCGCGCTGCAACTGAAGAAAACACATGCAAATACAAAAAAACACATGCAAATAAAATAAAACGCATGCAAATACAAACAAACGCGTGCAAATAAAAAAAAACACCCGCAAATTAAGACAACATCTTCATCAGTTTCACAACACACGTGTGCTCCAAATACTCACAACACCACCAAATACAAACGCGCTGCAAAAGCTCACAACTCAAATACAGAAAACGCGCTGCAAATAACACAGAGCACAACGGAAATGTGTCCAGAGGAACCAAATAGGCCTAAGTGACGAACCCGGCTGGGACGTGCGTGCTGGCAGTGGCATAGATATCCATAAATCTATGCGTGCTGGTGCTTACAGCTTAAAATTATACTTTATTTATTTATTTGTGCAAAACATACAGAGATTACATTTTTTTATGACATACAACTTGTATACAATGTACAAAATGTATTAACAATGTGTTCAATGTCATCAGAATACAAATGAGAAAAGAACAATGAGCTGGAAACTAAAATAAATAAATAAAAAAAGATGAAGAAGAAAAGATATTTATCTATACATCATGGTAAATGGACTGCATTTATATAGCGCTTTCACAGACCCAATGGCCACCAAAGCGCTTTACATTTGCCTCACATTCACCCATTCACACACTCATTCATACACCGACGGGCGACGGCAGCCATGCAAGGCGCCATCCAGCTCGTCGGGAGCAGCCGGGGTTAGGTGTCTTGCTCATGGACACCTCGACACTTGGTCAGGTGGAACCGAGGATTGAACCACCAACCTTCCGGTCTGTAGACAACCCACATGAACCACTGAGCCACTGCCGCTGTTGTTGTCAGTAAAAATGCGCAAAATATAGTTTGTGAAAATGGTCACAAACATATTTGAGCCTTTTTCATCAAAATATAGAGCAGAATCTTCTTTGTCAAACCTGATGGTGTAAAATAGGTCCCAGGCCAAACACCTTAACACATATTATCACAACTTTAAAACGTCATCACCAGAATGAAAACTAAACTGAAACTGACCAGCCGTGATTTGATTTATTTTACAGCAATCAAACAGTGCAACTTGCAAACGGGAAACTCTCAATAAAGAGGAGGTGCGGTGTTCCGTAACGTCTAATAGAGGGCGCTAGTGTGTTAGAAAATGATCCAGAAACATGAGCAAACCTGTCATTAAATTTTTTTAATTACAGTGTGAGCGCCTCGATATAATAATGTGGTCTTAAACTATTATTTATCATAAAGCATATAGTCCCTAAACCTATAGTACATTATAAGTGCCAGACATTTCATAGTACATGAACATCTCACCCGCTCTCTCCTTTTTCACCTCATTGACGTCATTACTTTACAACTCGGGGTGGAACTCTGGAAATGTGATGTGAGTGAACATTAGCCAATGAATGACCACACCCTCAGTTCAAATGTGAGATGTAAGCCAATCATCTCCTTGCATTTACAAGCGGAGGCGGGCCCTATCAGCCTCCGTGGATTTCGCTCTTCATCAACACGGTCTTTTTTTAAAGTTCCGTAGACGATGAGAGAAGGGGGGTTGTGAGGATACGGAAAATAGGGACAGTTTGAATATTTTAGATGTTCACGGGACATAAAAATAATCAAAAGAAGAGGTGAAGGAGTATATCTGGGCGTTTTTGTACCATATTAACCATTTCCTGGTGTTTAAATACGGGTAGGCAATAGCTAGCGCCATCAGGCTAACGGCGTTAGCAGTTAGCTATCAACCAAACGACAAAGGAAATATAGCCAGTAAATTCACATTTCCATAACTATATATTTTATACGCTTTGCTTTTTCGGATTGGGGCCTTATTTTTTGACCAACCACCAAGATAACAGAAAACGGAAGACTCGACCTGTTTGAATAAACCCTACAGAAATCCACTAAAATGGCGGAGCCGGACAAATTAAACATTGACTCCATAATACAGCGTCTCCTGGAAGGTGAGGAGAAATTCAAATATCTTTTAAAAATTAACTGTTTCTCCGAAATGAAACGTGTAAAACCATCAACTACTTGAGCATTTGTGTTTGTATTGCGTGCATGTCGTATTATAGGATAGTAGTAACTGTTAATCATATTTTGTGCTCTAAAAAAGCCGGGGGAAGTGGAGTGAATTAGCAGTTACCAGTCTAACGTTACAGTAATTTACTAAAACGCTGCCTGCGATTTTACAGTCGGCCACATATCTGTCATAATAAAGAACATATATTGATGACAAGTGTATGCCCTTTTTTTCATATTCACATAATGTTAAGATTATGAGTTGAAAATCGGCCAATATTTAATTCAATGACTACTGGTGTTCCAGTTTTTCAAGTGCTTTTCATTTCTATCTGTGTCCAGTTGTTTACCTTCAATTTCAGCAGGGGAAGTCCTGTGTCTAATTAAAACCTGCAGCAATAGGATTACTTTAACTAATGAGGATGTAGTTAGTGGAAGTGCATTACCAAGTGATCTTCACAATAGAGGCCTTCACAACACGGCATACGTCGTGGAAAACGTGATCACTTTCTTTTTTGTCTTAGGAGATTCTAAATTTAAGCTGTTTTATGATGTGAGGAGAACATTTCTGTACATAAATGTTTAGTTGTATGCATTTACACTGATTGTAAATGCTTAATCCCTTACACAGTTTAATTCTTTTGGAAGCCCAATGTTGTTCAAGGGTCCTTTTTTTTTTTGTAATGTTGTTTTACAATTTGATGTTTATTTCTACAAAGTTGAAATATTTCAGAAAATACTTAGTTGTAATTAACGGGTGAGGTTTTAATCAAGTAAGGATCTGCTGGATAGTAGGAACAGAATTTGTTCATTGTCTCTTTAGCTGCACCAGAAAGGTCTTTTGTACGTAATGCTTACTGATGCCTACTGAGGGTGAACATTGCGAACCATAGCACAGATGGGTTTAATAAGCCTAAGCAAGGAGTTTATTAAATATCTGACTCGCATCAAGCATGTGTGTTGCAAGATGGGAATGCTTCAGGCCGTTTTGTAAACTATGTACCACCTTTCCAGCCGTTTCTGTAGGAAAGGAAGTTGAGTAAGGTCGTAAGCTGGCCCACACAGCATCTGAGCCCCCAGAACTCCACAGAGACCACTTTAGTTTCTGCAGCATTCATAAAATTCATGCTAATCTCCGCCCCTTGTGTATTAATTTATTAAATATTTTTGGCTTGTTTAATTGTGTTTTCAGCTCCATTTAACAAATTTTGCCATATTTGAATCCATTCCACAAAAGTACATGCAGATTCTGTGTGGGCATGTTCATGAGTAGTTGTGAAGTTTAGACATCACAATTACTGATGGTGCTGGTTTGTTTGGTCTGCCTTTGCAAGAGGGATTGAACCGTTTCGATTTTATTTATTTGGCATAAAATTTAATGTCTCCTAGTATTTTTCATATGTAATAAAAGGAAAAGACACACTCCGTCATACAAATAAAACATTTTCCACGTGCATAGTACCTTTTACCTATTGGCTTTGGGTTCTGTTGGCAGCACGGCTGTGTAAACCTTGTTTTTTTTTCCCTGCAAATCGCCGTTAAAAAAAATAAACAAGCCTGATAATAGTTGTATATAAATCTCCTTATGTAATCCTGCTGTCCTATTTTCCCTCAAAGCTTGATGCCTTCATCCGAAGTCCTGATTCTCCTGAGGATGTTTTTTTTTTATGGCTGCTCTGCAGATTACACAGATATCACTATTTTATAGATAATATTATATATTTCATATAGATATTATATATATTAATTTATTGTGCCTATAATGGTCATCTACTAACTCTGATATCATATAAATATAGGGAATATTTAGTGAGTAGAGACTTGAAGTTATGTTTTCCTGTTCTCAACTCAACTATTTATAAAGCACTTTCAAAACCATTAGAATGGACAACACTTTGGTCCATAAGTAGTAAATAACTCTAAAATACATAGAAACGTAAAATAACATCGAAACAATGTTATTTTATGCTGTTCTCTGGACCCAAGTTGTTAGGGATTTTTGAGGGTAGGGTAAAAAGCACATTGCTCTGACATGCAGATATGGTCAGACTCTGTATGCAGGCAGGTTGTGCTCAACAATACACACGTATAATACAGTGAACGTATCAGAGTGTCCTATTTACCAAAGTTTTCTTGTGTACTTGGGTTACTGTGCTTGTAGGTTGGAAATAATTACATAACTTAATCCTCCCTTTTAATGAACCCAGCGGTGCGTCTTTTGACAGGCAGTGTCGTTTTTTAAAAATCCGGTTCCTAAGACTTGTTCGGTGGAATGTTCAGTGATTCCAGCTTTTAAGTCTAGATCCTTTTGGTTCATGCTGTTCTACACTGCAGCGCTGTTCTGCCCAAACTCCCAAAGCCTCATGGCCAACCAATGGAAAATCAATTGTTTTACAGGTGATGAAGGAAACTTTTGCACGTAGACTGTTGCTTTTGGTTGTTTTATGCTGGTTGCTGTGTTTTCCCAGCATCTGCTAACATTTGTCATTCTGTTGAGGTGTCACATAAGATGTTTACTTCTCCTCAGATTGTCCCTCTATCTTATTGCCTTCATTAGATTAAGTTTAGAGGGTCTCGCCTAGGGGTGCACGATTCAGAAAATGTCACGATTCTAGGGCTGTCAACTTTAGTCGTTTAGTCGACTAATCGGTCGATGCCGTCTTGGTCGACTGACATTCTTATTGGTCGAACAGTTGCATTTTTTTTTTTTTACCAATAGAAAGAAATTTTCAATGATTTACTCCTTGATATTTATTCCTTTATAAGCAGTTAAATATCACTGTATTCTAAATATAATTAGCCTATGGTTTATCCCCAACTTTAAATGCTTTAATTTAGGCTATTTTGTAACAGCGCCACAGTTTAGCGCACACACAGAGAACACTCGCTTCGCACCTGTGGCTGGCTGCGCTGCTGCTTCGTGCTCAGTTAGGGATATAGGTAGTTTAGCTGTATTCATTCAGTTAGAACGCTACTTGTTTCGGTTTTTATGTTTTTATACACTATATGTTTGTATCTCGATGCGGCGTGGACGCACTTGGAAAAAAAAGAGCGCGTCGCACCGCGACCGTTGCTTCCATCATTAGCGCACCCCGCGCACCTACATTTGAAATCGAACTTGAGCGCGCAAAAGACGTGAGCAGTCCCGGCTTTATCATGCTGACTTAATAGATTGTGTTTTCTTGATATGTTTTTGTTTTTATTTGTACACTTGACGCATTTGAAAATAGCCTAAATAATGTAACAAAACGAAAATAAACCTATATGCGGTCCTACAATAAAGCCTATTATTATTAGGATTGTTTTTTAGGCTCTTTGGGTTTTTGTGTGTGTTTGTTTTAAAACGCCTAGATAGGCTGGACAAAAGTTAACCTATAGCTTTGAAAGTAAAGAAGAATATACAGCCTGTATAAACGAGAGCTTTTGTTAGGATTTTTCATTGTGGCAGATAGCAGTTATATTTTTTGTAGCGTCTGGTGTGGTCAGGTGCGCGATTGTGACTGTCACTAATAGACCTAGGACAGAGCTCCTCACTTTTTGCAGTTAAAAAAAATCACTTAATTTTCAAAGAATTGTATTATTATTATAGTTTTATGTATTTTTGATGTTTTTTCGTTGTTGTTTTATAAATGCTCTATGACAATTGTTAAAAATGTTCAATCAAAACATCGCGTCTTTTTTTTTTTTTTTTTTTTTTTTTTTTTTTCGTCGACTAATCGTTGCACAGGACAAGACTTTGGTCGACTAAGGATTTCTTTGGTTGACTACAGCCCTACACGATTCGATTCGATACCGATTTTTTGTCTCAAGATTCGATTCAAAATCGATTTTCGATTCAAAAACGATTCTCGATTCAAAAAACGATTTGCAGTATATAAATGTAGTTTACTTTTTCCTATGTGATTGATTGCAGTAGACACAATTTAAAAGAAAAAAAACACAACAAATTAAATGTAGTTTGATATTACTTTATGTCTTCATACAAAAATAAAAACTTTTGCAACTAAAAAGTGCAAAGTGCCAAGCTTTGGCCAGCTTTCAAATACATTTAATTCAAGTTTAAAATAAAACTTAAATAAAAAGCTTTTACATTTAGCTTTAAAGTGCTGTAGTCAGATCAAACAAACAATTATGCTAAATGTGGTTTAAGGACTACTTCAGCTACCAGGCTGACTGTTGAAATGTGAACTCGACTAGGCACATTGAACTTCCTAAAAATATACTAATGTCATAGAACCCTTGCGAAATAACTTTAAATAGATTTTAAAAAGCCACCGCTACTGGTAACATCTATGGTTAGATTGATTTGTTTAGATCCAGTGAAGTCGTTCATAGGCGTAATTTGCGGGTATCTCCAGTTAACTAGCAGAGCATTCGTTTAGTTCGCTATTAAATAAGAGATCTGTTGTTTTTGAAATCAAGCTGAGCGCTCGTGTCCGCTGCTATCAGTGTCATGGATACAGTGTTCTCTGTGGCTCGCGCAGTCTTCACTCGGACGCGCTCTTCAATCTATCGCCGTTTTGGAGACTCCGGTAAAATCTCAAAAATAAAATGCACACAAACGTGATGAACATATTCGGTTTTGATGAGAGAGAGAAAAAACTATACGAGTGCGGTTTAGAACCCGTAACCTCTGACAGACACGCTTGGCAAAAGATCTACAGACCATCAAGAACTCAAACATAATCTGCGGATTGATGCATTTATTTACGGGTTGAGCAGAGAGGCTGCACAGTTTGACCAGCGGGCGGCAAGAACTTGCAATGTATAACTATTTATCAGACCGGCCCTCGCGGCCTCGAAACACTACCGAACCACCGGTAAAAGTCCCGACTCACCCGATTGCCACTCCGCCCGTGCACGCCATAAAAAAAAAATATGAATCGATTTTTGGAATTCTATGAATCGATTCTGAATCGGTAAAGATTGAATCGCGATTCAAATGTGAATCAATTTTTTTGCACACCCCTACTCGCCTCTGAGAACTTGCAGATTCCGAGGGAAAACACATGGATGTCCGTGTGATTACCGTCTAATAAGCACTGGACTGTTAGCGTGACTGTATTTACCCATCGCATGAGACGGCTAGATGCAAACTTGTAGTTCAATTTGATTGATTGCCTTTGTTGTTCTCTGTGATTATTTAAAGAACTTAACACACCTACAAGCTACCGTTCAAATGGTTTATTTGATTATCAACCAAGTACCCCCTATTTGGTGGGTGGTTGAACTGTTCTCTGCACTACTGTTTTTCTACTTATTTATGGAATTTAGCACACCTAACAATTTAAACACCTATGGTTATTGTTTGAGTGATTTATTTGCTTGTTTGTCGTATAGGTCCACCCCCAACCTTGTGTTGGGTCTAAGCTCTGTGATGCTTATTGGCCCCGTGACTAACTTTAGAGCAAGTGCTGTTAGGGCATTAGCCGGCCTTAATCTGGGTTTAAAGTGACGAGCAGCAGGATCCTATTTATACCCACTTTTCACTGGCTGAGCTGACAGGCTTCCGGTCACTGTCCTGGCCCTCAGAGATCTCAAGTGCTGAAACCCTAAAGGCCTCCTTTTTTGAGACCCCAGCTAACTGTTATACCACACCATTGGTGCATGCTTTGTTTGCTCAAAAGTCCTCTATTAAAATGAAACCAAGGTGGTTAACGTCAGTTATCAGTAACAAAAAAAGTGAAGTGCTTGTTCCCTAATATGAAAGTCAAATTCAGGGTATTATCTCCATTGTTGTGCAGGGGAGAAAGTGAAATGTAGCTTCCCAGGTAACTTTGATGCAAACACACGCTGTTCGTGACAAAGTGGTAGCAACCATACAATATGCATTATCAAAATGTACAAACAATAAACCCAAGATAAGGTGAATATAGATCTTGTGCAAATAAATGGCACACAATCATGTCAAACATACTAGTTAGTTCAGTACCAAATCGATATTAAAATAAAGGAAATGTAATAATAGTTTTTCAATTCTTATCTTCATAATGCATACAATCTTTCTGCAGCATTAGAAGCATCGTATACAGACTGAATTCAGTGCCAGTGCCGTAGTATGCATATTTGAAGAATCCTCATGGTAAAAAAAGCTACAGTTAAAAGTCTATATGATTTAAAAAAGAAAGTTTTTAAATGTCTCATGCTCACCAAGGCTGCATTTATTTGATGAAAAATACAGTAAAAATATTGTGAAACATTATTACTATATATATATATATATTATACACACATATATACACACATATATACACACATATATACAAAATTATAATTTGTCATGGCAGAGCTGAATTTTCAGCAGCCATTCATTATTCCAGCCTCCTTCAGTGTCACGAATATGCTGATTCGGTGCTCAAGAGCAATTATTACGGTATTAATGTTAAACTGTTGTGCTACTTTATTATTTTTTTTTATTTTTTTTTTGCAAACTGAAATTTTTTCAGGATTCTTTGTTTAATGGAAAGTTCAAAAGAACAGTTTATTTGAAATGTGAGTCTTTTATAATGTGTCTTTCCTGTAGCTTTGGTCAATTTAATATGTCCTTGCTGCATAAAATTAACTTCTTTAAAAAAAACAAAAAACTTTTGAATAGTAGTGTACATACATGCTTGAATGGCAGGTACTTGGTCAAAATAGTGATGTATCATAGTAATTGATGTAATTGAATTGTAGTTATATCATTAGGTTAAAAATGAATGAATTTGTTGCTGTGGTATGTAAATTGATATTGGGAATTGTGAAATTTCAGTGGTATGCTCTGACGTTTTAGTAATGTGACACTGCATGGCATGCAGGAATTTTTCACTTTACACTGAAGTGTGCTATAGGTGTCTTTTAAACAGCTGCACGAATATGTATTCAGTGTGGGTGAACATTCAGTCAGCCAGCTGTTTTTCTCTGGAGTGTCACGTTGAATGAGACATCTTCTGTAGAGATGGGTGGATGCATAGAAGCATTTTGTCATGCACTGTAAAATTGTTTTGTCGGTAACATTGTTCAGTTTGTATGATGTGGGCATTGTGATTTCATAACATTTCAGCACTGACTATTTGTGTCCTTGGTTAATTTGTGTAAAGCAGCATTCTTTAAACATTTATTTAGAGGTGAAAGGTAGGCTGGTAGGATCGATTTTGTGATTGTGCACAAATAAGCCATCTTCCAAATCCTTGCATAACTGCCCGATTATGTGAGTCACCGGAATACGCTCTGTGTAGGCTACAATATTTCTTGCCTGAAGCAAGCCATGTGAAATGTATATTTAAAACCCAACAATGGCTTGCCTGCAACTGCAGGGATGCCTTTTGGTGTTTTATTTTTACGTTCTGATCTGACCATCCCGTGCACAGATGCATCATTTCAGGTTTTTGACCCTTGTGACCTAGGAGATGGCCGCTTCAGCCCTGTCCAAATAGGTGGCAATATTTCTCCTTTCCAGATGCATCATATGTGCTTTCTTTCATCTGCTGCTGCCAGCTAAACTCTCCGAACAGCGCGGCATGCTGCCAATCTAAAAGGGCATGTTTGAATAATACCACAGGTCTGCGTTGTGTGAGATGACAGTCTGTTTAGACCCTGCAAGCCTTCCGTCACAGCACGCCTCAACTCCCTTAGGGGCTTTTTTGTGTGGGGGCTGGGGGTCTGTTGACCTATGTTTAAAAAAAAAGAAAATAATTATATTTAAATATATCTGCAATTTTAAAACTATCTTAAATTGCACATGATCTTTAAAGAAATATCTTTACCACGCATTGTGGTTTATAAAAGCCATATACGGTTGTGCTAGTGTGGACTAAGTGAAACGCTAAGGACTGCTTTAACAAACCTGCTAAATTCTGTAAATGCCTTGGCCGGGTCTTGCGTGGTTGGGGTTCCTGCTTCAGCAGAGACACATGATCTAGTGTTTGACTGCACTGACGTCTGTGCGTCACTTTTCTGTACATCCCATCATTTCAGAGAGCCTCTCATCCTCTAGCTCTTCCTAGTTTTTTAAAGCACTTATTTTCTGATAACAGGGTCTAATCTGGCGCATTTGCTTTTTGTTTGTTTTGGCCTGATTCCTACTATTCTCATTTTGTCTCTTTTGTGCTTTTTCCAGTTAAAGGCTCCAGGCCAGGCAAGAACGTACAACTGACAGAGAGTGAAATCCGTGGCCTCTGTCTCAAATCCCGAGAAATTTTCCTCAGCCAGCCGATCCTGCTGGAGCTGGAAGCACCGCTCAAGATCTGTGGTATGATTGTCCTACAGGGTTCCCACGATCATGGAAAACCTTAAAGGGGTCATATGACGGTTCTAAAAAGAACATTATTTTGTGTATTTGGTTTAATGCAATGTGGTTTTAGGTTCAGAAAAGTCATTATTTTACACATACCATACATTATTGTTGCTCCTCTATGCCCCGCCTTTCTGAAATGGGTCGATTTTTACAAAGCTCATCGGTCTGAAAAGCGCGGTGTTCTCTGATTGGCCAGCAATCCAGTACATTATGATTGGCCCGAATACCTCAAGTGAGTGACGGAAATGTCATGCCCCTTACCATATTTGGAACATCAGCTCCCAAAGCAATAATGACAGGTGATAATGTCTATTGATAACTACCTTATCAATTCGAGCCCGAAACTGATCCTGAAAATGCAGATGACCAAACTGATTGATCAACTTTGCCAGCGCGACCAGAACACATCAGATTGGTATGGTTTTATTTCATTGGGGACATAATTGTTGATTATAATGACTTATACTGTCTTTTTTACATAAAAGCATGTCTGCATTTGTGATTGTAGAAATGACAAACAAGCGCTACTCTATACTGCTCAAAACTCAAAATAATTTATCCATATTTTAGCCAATTCTTAAAATATGAAAAAAATACTCAAAGGCTGTGTCTGTGAGTCAGAAGCGCCAGACTGTACTGGCAAAGGTGGAATTGCCCCACTTTATAGAATCAGGAGCCGGCCTTGTACTCTCCCAGGTTCTGGAAACAGTCTGTTGTAGATTTTTGGGGGCGTGTTTGAATGAAGCGTTTTAGGAAGGCGTGGCTGAGCCTTAACTTTTACAAAGAATATCTCTCTGGGTTTGAGACTTTGAGCTTTGTAAATCTGCAGATCTTATACATGCAAAAACAGCTACATAACACACTAAAGAAAAAGGAAAACAAGAAATCGCATCATATGACCCCTTTAAAGGAATTCAGATCTTAATTAGTGGAAATTTTTTATACTGAACATAATTTTTTTTTTTCTGTTGCATGTGCAGGTGATGTTCATGGCCAGTACTATGACCTTCTTCGTCTCTTTGAGTATGGCGGCTTTCCTCCTGAAAGCAACTACTTGTTCTTGGGGGACTATGTGGATAGAGGGAAACAGTCTCTAGAGACCATTTGCCTCCTGTTGGCCTACAAAGTCAAATATCCTGAAAACTTCTTCCTTCTGCGTGGCAACCACGAGTGCGCCTCTATCAACCGTATATATGGCTTCTATGATGAGTGTAGGTATCAGTATAAATTCTGAATTTGATTTCTTACAACTAGGGCTGGCGATATGACAATATTATCGTATATTGACGATGTCTTATAAGTGTTGCGATGTTGATTGAACAGTCGGTTACCAGGCGATCATCGACAATATACGGTAATGACATATATAATTCACATAGCCACATAGGCCTAGTTACCATGCACACATTTATTCACATGCAATAGCATGAATTAAAAAATGTTTCTATTGGCTAGCAGTTAGTAGAGTTAGGAATAGAAAATCGATTCCAATTCATGATATTTAAGCGCAGGACAAATATACACACACAATTATGTCCAAATATGCCCGTAAACACAGTCAGTTTTGTCTCAAGTGAACTTTAACGGTCGGCCTATAGGCTGATTTCACGCAGTTGCCACTTTGAAATCGAAAGCGAGGCTCCAGTGGGAAGAACCCCAGAAGTACAGATAGACGACAATGCCTTGGACTACCAACCTGAAGCTGCTGCCGCGATATACACTATTGGATGTTAATATCCAATATAGGATATGTATATAGTTCGTTCCTGCTTCTTTTTTTACGTTCTGAATTATATTTAGAAAAATAATTTTATTTATAAATGAATTTCACTGTATATAGTCTAAAGTATGAAAGAAATGTATGTACATTTTTAGAATAACTAATTTCTACATTAAACACAACAATACGCCATTGCATTCGCGACTCTCCTATGATTAAAGGCGACACTTCCGGTTTTCTTCCCACCGGAGCGATTTCAAAATGGCGGCAGCGTGAAATCAGCGTATTGGATAGACAATATAATTGGATATCGCGGTATTTTTACATATCGCCCAGCCCTACTTACAACTTCATAAATGCTTATGATGCCTTTCCCATATGCACATTTAATGATTTTGAATGCTCATAAGCTATTTTTTCTATCCTCTAAGGTAAGCGACGGTATAACATTAAGCTGTGGAAGACCTTCACAGACTGTTTCAATTGTTTACCTGTGGCTGCCATTGTAGACGAGAAGATCTTCTGTTGCCATGGCGGTGAGTGCAGGCAGAGGCCTTCTGTCCCCATGGCAATTTTAATGTTTTGCCATAACTCCTGTATTGACTTCACAATTTCCCTGGATAAGTTAAAATATAGCTGTTTATAGCCATATGACTGGGAAACCATAAAGTTTGGTTCATTTGATTGGCACGAAATCTCAACGACACACCAGGCGACTAACTTGAGTCCTCATAAAAAGACAGTTTTGTGTACACTTCATTTAAGCTAGTGTGGTTTTGCAAATGATGTGGGAGTAATCTGCTCTGGAAATGAACTGTAATTGATTAGATTTTTTCTTTTGTGAGTCGTCATCATCCTCAAAATATCTGCTGTGCTTAGCAATGAAATGCAGTAAATATGAACTGTTTTAAACATAAAGATCCAGATGGAGTGACCATATAAAGATGTTAAGCTATATATATATATTTTTTTTTGTTGTTGCTTTTAAGCAGCTTAAACTTAAGGGGTTCACTAAAACTATTGATTGATGTCATGAATGCATCCATGGGAGAAACGGCACAAACAACCAACATTTCCTGCACTACTAATCTACCACCACCACAGTAAAAAATAAAATTAATTATTTTTGTGGCTGTGCCGTGCAGTCTGAATTGAATTGTTTAGTTGTCTTTACTGACTGAGCTAAAAACAATACAGGAAATGCAGCGTGACTAGTGTAGTCTGATTCACAAAAAAAGCTGGTCCTTTAAATTATGCTCATAAAGACTTTTGTTTGAATTAGTCTGTACTGATTGAGTTCACTGAATCCTGAATCATGGTTACTGAATTAACATTTGACTCTCTTATTGAATTGCAATCCTTTACTTTTAGTCATGTCCTCTATTGAAAGCAAGAAATAAAAGATGTAATATAATTTTAGAAAAATTTAGGACAAATATTTAATGTTAAAACATTTTAAAACTTAAAAGCTTTTTATAGGAGACATGTTAAGACCTTATTTCGTTTAAATTTGGATCACCAATCTGTATTGAAGGATTCTGACATAATTTCTTCATCTTGCTTGTAAAGCTGTTTAGAAATGTGTTGTCATTTATTGTGCTGTTTTGCAGCCCCACAGTGTCTGGATGCACAAAAGGAAAAAGTTGCTCCCTAAAAATGCACTGTGAAATATAATGAATTGTTTTCTGCTCCAGGCCTCTCTCCAGACCTGCAGTCAATGGAGCAGGTGCGACGCGTCATGCGGCCCACGGATGTGCCTGACCAGGGGCTGCTGTGTGACCTGCTTTGGGCCGACCCAGACAAAGACGTACTAGGTTGGGGAGAGAATGACCGTGGTGTGTCCTTCACCTTCGGTGCAGACGTGGTGGCCAAATTTCTTCACAAACATGACATGGACCTAATATGCAGGGCACATCAGGTTAGTATATGTTCTGCTGTTGTTGGAATCCTTTAACAAAGCCTTGTAACATTAATAGACTACAAAATGTGACGTTGTCATCTTGTGCAGGTGGTGGAGGATGGTTATGAGTTTTTTGCGAAGAGACAGTTAGTCACCCTGTTTTCCGCTCCCAACTACTGTGGCGAGTTTGATAACGCCGGGGCCATGATGAGTGTGGATGAGACACTCATGTGTTCCTTCCAGGTAAGAGATGAGCTGTCATTTTCCTTTCTCTCGTTTGCCTATACCTGATTACAAGGCTTTCCAGTTTCTCTGCAAATGCTTAAAGTATAATTTGACGATCTGGCCAACTTCCTCTGTAGATTTGCATTAGGTCATCTCCGGAACATTTGTTCTCTGCGTTTACAGTAATTCTATTGTTCTGTACCAAAACCTAGTGCACGGCACCTACAGATGCTTTTTAAGGCATCATGGGCATAAACTAGGCAACCTAATTATACTACCATCTAAGATTGTGCTTTCTAAATGTGCATTCACATTAGCAAAAGGGTGGGGAAACAAGGCACGTTTGTCTGTCATTATTGTAGTGATTTTTAATCAAGTTAATTTTATTTTTATAATTTTGGGGGGAAATGGGCCTTAAATATCTTTCAGTTTCTATTTCAATAAAAAAAAGTTTTTGCTATGAAAATAGCTAAAGAAGCTGGCATAGTTAAACAAAAATGGCGGTGTTAATGTCAAACTGCATTCAAATCAATTGTTAGTCAAGTCTCTCACACAGAGGTACTACCTATGTAGGGGGTTTTGAATTAGTCAGTTGTGAGGTTCTATGGTGGTCCCTATGTAGGTAGCTCGCTAGATTTTGAAACAGAGCTTGTATGCACCAAAGCGCTCTCTCTGTGGGAGGACGTGTCTATATTTGGAAGTCTGTGAGCTGTCGTGCGTGTTGCTCACTCTCGTCCTCTGTCTATTTCTCAGATCCTTAAGCCAGCTGATAAGAAGCTGTACTACGGTGGAGGAGGTGGAATGGGCTCAGGACGTCCAGTCACCCCACCGCGAAATTCAGCCAAGGGTGGAAAAGCCAAGAAATAACACCAGCTGGATGATCCCTCCACCCCCAACGTCGTCGTCTCCTGAAAATTCCCTGTTCTCTCCCTACTCTTTCTCTACCTCCCTTCTTTCTTTCCATCTCCAAATGGCTATAAAGCAAAACAGTACCCAGGGTTGAAGTCCTTTTCTCTCTCTCTCTCTTTCTTTTGTATCTTCTTTTTTTTTTTTTTTTTCATGTAACTTTACAAATGTGTGTTTATATATGAGACTGCGTGTGTGAGCATCGGTTATGTTTGTTAGGCTCTTTGTGTTTGTCTTTCCACCCATCCTTCCCTTCCCCTCCACCGCTCATTGCCCCCATCTCTCCACCTGTCTCTGTCAGGGAGCCTCTGACGAAGTCTACATTTGAACTCCCAGCCTGGCTCTGGGAAAGATTGAGACACAGAGAGTGGTCAAAGGGGGGCAGGTCGAGAGGTGCGGGTGAAGTCCCCCTCACTGTTTATGTCCTGACACCCTCCTGCATTGTTTTAAACAGAACTTGCACATCCTGCATTAGTTAGAGAGCCAGTCTGAGTGAAATGTGATAAATGTATACACACACGCAGGGAGAATGGATGTGCAGAGAAAGCGTGAGGTAGAGAGAGACTGTCACAGGTGCATAATTTCCATTTAGAGATCCAGTGATTTAAAACAATCAATCATGTTGGAACTTTTTACTTCTTTTTTTCTTTTTTTGTAGATGGATCACAACAAAAGCTTTGAAATTCTTTGCTTACTATCTGTGTTTTTTTAGTGTCTTTTTTGAAAGACAATTATCAATAAAGAGAACTTTATTTAAACATCCTGTACTATCTATCTTACTGTGTCCCATTCTCCCAAGTTATGACTCTCTTCCTCAGGTGTTGCGAATCTGTCCTGTTCTCGATTTTCTTTTGTTTTATTTATTTAATTAAAGTGGATTGAATGTAGTCTTTTAGGGTTGACCAAAGGTGACATTTGCTGAGAAGGACCGAGATTGTACACCTAACCCTTTTCTGTTGTCTCCAACTTGCTTGCTGACGCTTTCTGTCTGCTTCCTCTCAACAGTAAACTCTGTCTCCCTTTGCCTTCCAAATATGCTATTCTCCATTTTACCTGTTAGATTACTCAAACATAATTACTCTTCTCTGTCCTATTGGTCTGTCCTTCTCTTTTCACTTTTTGCTTGTTAGCATTATCTGGGTTTTGAAGCACTGGGCGTCACACCCAGCTCCTGGATCTTGCTTTGCCAGCTCAACTTGTCCCTTACCTCTAGAGATCTGTTGTCCTTTTCATTCCCCTCCCTCCATTTCAAACTGTGTGTTCTGAGTTGCCAGACAGGATTTAAAGTTTGATCCATTTAAATCTCAGAGGAGTTGCTACTGTAATTAAGATTTAAGAATTTTGTTTGCCTCAAACTCACATCACTGGTTCCAGCAGGTGGCGCATTTCACAAAATTCTAGTTCTTCAATATGTTCATGGGGGATAAGAATATTGCGAAGCAATACACTAGTGTCCTCTGCTGGCTCAAAGACACTGACATTAGTTTTTGTTGTCACCTGCTTTATATGTTCTGAAATGAAAAGTTTTGTAGTTTAAAACAGTAGCAACATCTAAAATTATTGAAATAAGCAGGTAATCTTTGGTTAAGCGTGTAGATTTAATGTCTTTTATAATATGAAAGAAAATGAAAAAATATAAACCAGGGGTGTCCAAACTCAGTCCTGGAAGACCACTGTCCTGCAGAGTTTACGTTCAACTCACCTGCCTGGAAGTTTCTAGTATTCATGAAGAAGGATTGGACAATCCTGATATAAACTTATTATATGGTGGCCTAGTGTGAAAAAAAAAAATTATGGTTAATGCTTTAGATGCTCAGAAAGGTCTTCAGGTCAAGGTGTGTCTTTCATTGCTGATGTAACATTTTTAGCCAATGTAGGAGACTAGCACTGAAAAATTAGAGTAATGAGTAATAGACAGATGTAGTTGACTGCGCTAGACACACTAATTGCTTTCTTGCATCACGGAACTGATCACATACAGATCGCAACAGAATATGAAAAATCAATGTCATTCCACATCTGGCATCTTATGGTCAGTCTCAAATCAAGTATCATAACTATAATACAATCATAATATTGCTCTTTTCTGATAGATCTTGTATATGTTTTTTTTTTTGGGGGGGGGGGGGGGGGGGTATTTTTAAGCCGTCGAAAAAAAGAAGCAAAAAGTTGATGTATTTCCTTTTGGTTGATGGCCTTCCTATTATCTCTGATCTCCTCAGCAAGGCTGATAGATTGTGCACATTTTGCTTTGCAGCAACACTGAGATTAAGACTTTATTAGTAGTAGACTTATTGTTGTTGTTAATATATAATTGTACTTTTATTTGTTTTACTTGACAGAGAGCAGGATATTTAGATGATGTAACTTTTTTCTTTCTCTTACAAAGCAATCAGGGATGTTTTTCCTTAATGCAGTGTAGTACATTATTTCAACTGTACCATAGGTATAAATAAGCCAATTAGAGGTTTCAGGGGAGGGGCTTTTGAGATTTTGCTTTTTCAATGAAATTTGATTTCCAACCACAAATCCTGTTTCTCAGCTACTGGAAACAAAAATAAAACAGTGTATTTGTACTGGCTGTTTTGATATTCCTTCAATATTTGTAATAATTGGGCATCTAAATGATTTTCCACTTCTAAGTAAGGTGTCTTTCAGTAAATTAGACTAATTGAGTATGACAAACTTCGTCTTTTAAATTGGTCCTGGTTAAAACCATACAATTTATGAATTGCTTGAATAAAGTTTTTTTTTTTTCTACAAAATATGTTTCACCCACAGTACTCTCACAGCTGAGAATTGTTAAGATAAAACAACAGCTAGCCTTGAAGTACGAAACCCATGGGGGGAAATTTGTAGGTTATTCATATGTTGGTTTAAAGGATTAGAAATCTTAATTTGGGTATTTCTATTTAAGATTTTTCAACTTTAAATATTTTAAACTATAACGAGCTTAAAAACAATCACAAAATATTTAAAACCAATGCTTATTGTTTTCAGACAATGTGCAACACAACAAATATTACATTACATTACAAATATTACACAATATTACAAATATTACAACAGTACAAAGAACACAGTGAGGGTAATGAATATTTAAACATCTACTGACCAAAACCAGAAAAACCTTAATCCCATCAAACATGCATTTTTGCCTAACAAACAGTCTGCTATTAAATTGCGTAACTCCATGAGGTCAACAGGACACGGTTACAGAGATGAGGCGGGGAACGGAGCGACTTTCTCGCCCCCTGATTGGTAGAAGCTTGTGGTATTTTCTACATCTGTACTCCTATAGGCCCATCTCAACGCCGTGTAACTTGGCCAGCCAATAGGATATGGTGGAAATCGCCGAGATCCCGCCCACTCATCACACTAACTAATAGGAACGCGACCACGGATGTCAAGGATTGGTTGAATTCACCTCGACTCCAGGAGGACAAGACTTCTACGTTCGAAAACAAACGCAGTACAGAAAAATTAATGTTAGAATAATTCCCGAATCATTTCAACTCGGCTGTCCATTTTCTGGTTTATGATCATATATCCGCAGTAGAAACATCAGAATCATGGAATATGGAGACAACTGGAGCAGATGGCTGCAGCACTCGTAACCAACAGGAAGAGCTAAGTTAGCCTGTTAGCTTTCAGGCGAATTTCACTACGGACAAATCGACCAGAAATTTGAAGGAAAGCCCGTCAGGTAAAATACTCTGCTGTTTATTATACTAACATGGATATGCTCGCGCCACTTTTAGAAATCATATATTATTCAAAGTGAGGAATATAGCACGTTTAAAGGTTCAAATTGGACCGTGTGGCTCTGCTTATGTTGTCCAGTGAGCTAAATGGACCGTGGTGGTTTGGGTTGAAGTCCGTTAACTCGACTCCCCGACAGTGATATATGGCCCCTCGCGCCTGTGACCATTAATAATCAGCATTTATGAATTGACAAAATCAATTATCCCTTTACCTCCAGTGAGGTGTGTTGCTTAATAACTACTAATTGGCGCGATCAAAGGTGCTCGGTGACCGATGGGGGTGTAACCGTGAGACCACGCGAAATGTATTATTTACTATCATCTAATTTTATTTCCCATTTGTATATGGTTTTTCTTTAATTTTTTTCGCCACTGTCGGCTGGCTCTGAGATCTTTCTGAGCTGGTGTTAACACGCATATTCCCGGAGCTCTTCTTTTCACGCTCGCGACACGTAAGTTACTACTCGAACTCGATTATATAACTCTAGTGCTGAAGTCTTTTCAGACTGAATAGCTGCTTTGTAGTGCGACTCCTGACCTGTCAGCGGAGAGAAGCTTTATACGTATAGTAATCTACAAGAGGAGGGTATTTGCTTGCATGACAGCATCAACAAGGGTTACAGTATACAATAATGTATGAAAATTGGGTAAATAACATGGAAAAATTACAGTTGAACACTAAATGGCATCTGTCATAAACAAGCTTGATCGAGGCCACTAATTCAGCATTTGCCCACTAGAGTCTCTTCCTGAGGAAATAATTATGGTATCGCTTTTGCTTTGCCAGACTTTTTGCTCTTCTGCTGTTTACACACTGTAAAAATTAATTGTAGAGAGAACCATATGCTTTAAAAATGTTCGATTCTCTGAACTATTGTTTTAGTAATTGTCTGACACTACCCAGTTTTATACGTTTGGATTTGTATGTTTAATAAATTCATAATGCCACATTCAACCAATAAATGTATCAAGATTTCTTGTTCAACAAATTTTAATTTAGTAACAATGAATTGATCTGTAATTTGCTTAATATTTGAACCATACATGCTATCTTTGTTTCTGAAGGTGCATTGTTGACCTTTCAAATCAAAGATATCTGACTGGGATATTGATTAAGATGTTTTACATAGACTTCAGCAGCACTTGATCCATGGCGAGAATCAACAAATGTAAAAAGATGAGCTTTTAATTCACAACACAACAAGTGACGGACAATAATGACAAAACAACACAAGTTAAAAATAGTCAGCAAACAGTGAAGAATATGTATTAATGTGTTGCATTGTTAGCACTGTGGGGGATTTGTACGGTAGTTATAAAAATGAAATTTTTATGACTTTTGAATATGTAGTGAGTGTTCATTTCTTGGAGACTGTTTTTAGCGTGCCTGGTGTTTAATATATTTCAATAGTTTAATCATATAGGTACCACATATACTTTTGCTATACACATTATTCCTGACAGTTTAAAGAAAAAGTGCCATGAGGGCATGTAAACTATTCAGTATCAAAGTAGTGAGGCTATTACTTTGATATGTGCTAAATGGATTATGAATATTTTAAATGTTATTGACAACAAAAACGCTGAGAAAAACTAGACTGTAATACTGAATTTATCACAATCTAAATAATTTAGAGAGGGATACTTACATTTGTGGAAAATACAATGGAGTCCAAAAGCCTGAGAGTGCATTAGCCTAAACATTTAGGTTTGAAAATCCAAATATGGAAAAACAAAGCTTTACGGAATAAAACATACAACATATAAGGTTATGATATAAAATAAATTGGAGATATTTCAGATTCTGTTTCTAGGTCTAGGCTTAGTACAGATGGTCAGATGTTCTTGCTTACATTGAAGCTCAAAATAACATTCTCGAATCATTGAACTTGATCATCAGGTTTTACATAGAACTTGAATTTGCACTGCTTGACTGCTGCTGTCATTAGGGGAAAAAATAAATAATTCTTTAAAATATAAATATTTTCACTTGT